GAGAGAGAGAGAGAGAGAGAGAGAGAGAGATACTGGGAGGCAGCAAACAATCGTAATGAGAGCTCGTTCTATAGCCATTCTCAGTAGGAAAACTAAAACAAACAGATAAACCAAAACAGTACCTAATAAACTATGTACTAAGTGTATGGTTCATTCAGTGAACAAACACCCCCTCTCCTCCCAAATCCCTCACCCCTGTTTCTCTTACTTTACTTTTCAATTGATTTTAACCTCAGTGGAAAGATCAATGCCATCCTTTTCCTCTCCAAGTCCTGTACAGCAAACTTGAGAAGGCCGAGCTGTAACAGATGCATGGCCGTTGAACCTCCACGATTTACACCAAATGCCGACGGGGCGGGCGGGGAAACATGTTGATTAACTCTGTCAAACCCTTGTGATGGTATCCAGGTGTGACGGAAACACACACTAGTTCTCTCGAAAGTGAAACGTGTTTCGTTTTTCACAATTGCATACCGAAAGTATTCCTTCTAACAGGCGTAAACAGAATCGTTGATTTTTGGAAAAACCGTTTTCATTGGATTAAATCTTACTACAGTTTGTGCAAATTCTGATTTGGAAATTAAATGGATATGCTTTGTGCCGTCGAAATCGTGTTTGAAATGGCATGAAATTGATACGTGGGAGTTAACAAGCGGTAAGCTTTAAACTTTTTAAGTACCGGACTTCGTTAGTCGACAAGACGGTTATCAAAGAAACACTTCAACGTCTATTTTTCTCATTTCTTTTTTACTCCCTCATTCGTTCTCTTCCCCCTCCTCCTCTCTATCTGTCAATATGTCTGTCTGTCTCTCTCTCTCTCTCTTCTCTCTCTCTCTCTCTCCTCTCTCTCTCATTCTCTCTGTCATTCTCTCTCGATGTGTTTGTATCCTCTAAAGTAACAAAAGACTGACTTTCTCTTTACCTTTCTAGTAGTCCTTCAACTTGATCGGTCGTTCTCCTAAGTTATCGCTGTGCCTTCCTTTTCAGTGTGTCCTTTTAAACAATGACACCTCAATCAGTTTCCTTTTCATGCCATTGACTCAGTGCTGTCGTCCAGTTTCTTTGTCCAGATTTCTTCACCTGAGACAGGCTAATCTAAACACCAACACGCACTGACGCTATACTTGAAGCCCAAGCAATTCGTTTCTGGCCATTACCTCAGACATGACTGAGAATAACTTAAGACCTTTTCATTTCCTTCCAGCTCAACGAATCACGTTTCTTGCTAATTTCGGAGGAATGTCGTTTTAACGGTACCATATGCAGTCCACTTCTCAAAAGGAAGTTTTAGCAAAAATTACGGCAGGAACTACTCCAGGTCAACCTTTTCGTATTAATTGTAACAAATATATTTTTTTAAACACGCTGTACAAATTCAGACCCAAACACCGTCCTATAATGACGTAAAGCAAAGACAAATAAAGTAAATTCTCTACAGTTACTCGTGAACAAACTGAACATTGGACCATTGTACTACCC